AGGCCATTGCCTCTTCATTACGAGCTCATCGCCAAGGTGTTGGTTTGATTTTCTTGACAGGCCTGCGAGACAGTTGTAACATTCCTGCAGACAGGCTGTTCACTTACATAGGCTCGTATCACGTGGAACCCAGTGTTTCTTTAAATTGGCGCTGCGTGAACGCTCCAAAAAAAGCATATCCCAAAATGGCGGCGCCTTTCCCGTCAGAGCAACCCTTTTTGAGCCCGGAATGTCGTGCCAGGTAGTTAGAGGCAAAACCAGTTGTATGCAACAGCCTGCATACAAACCCACTTTCCTAATTGAGGTGCATATCTTTTGCGCGGTCCAGATGGATGCGATTTTTCACACTAGTTTCGCCTCTGACGCAGCCTCTCCTAGTTTCAGGGCTTCTGTAGGTATGGGAGACGAAGGGAGTTGGGAAGACCCCTGTATTTTCCAGGAAACCGTGAAAGCCGGAATAATTGAATTTCTTTTTCACGAGGGGCAGCCCCTCAATTGATCCGAAAGGTGGAGCCCCTCCCTGCCCCTCCCAGAGTTCTTGGCCGGATAAATTTGGCCGCTATTATCATCTGGACCCACTGCTTTCAAACCATACCCTTATTTGTACAGGAAAGGGAGACATTCCTCCCTTACACTGTTCGGGAGGCTCTGTGACGTCAGCTTCACTTTCCATACACGCTAGGGATTTGAAACCGGGCACGTGATCTTCCGGCAACGCCTCACTTTGTGCAGTACGTTCGTCTGAAAACAGAAAACACATCCTGCACCGGCCGTCTCCCAGCAATATGCTTCAAGTGTAACCGTTTATACAAGGTGTGAAATCTGACCCACGAGCATATGGTTGTGCACAAGAGCTGTCGAAGGACCTTTCTTGTATAGGAGGATTGTAGGGATCCGTACTATGTGCAGGATGCAAATATCCACCACCCAAAAAAAAAAAAGCCTAAATGTCTCTAGCGTTTTCAGATGGGCACGGCAATTTGTGTTTTTGTAATTTGGGAGACGCACAAGATCGTACTTTTGTTATGAAACTGTGAGGTTTTGAACCTTGTCGGTTTGTGTCTTTGAGAATGCTTCTCACCCAAATGGCTGCGAAACACGAGTACTCAATGGGTTAACGAACAGTGACGAAAAGCTACAAAGTAACAAGACTTCTTAATTTCCACTCAAAAACGTATATCAATTTCTCTGTGAAACAGCCTTTTCCTCGTTTATGCGGATATTGCTCGGCCAGTTTTGTGGAAAGCACAGAGGGTAAAAGAGTCTCCCGAAACTGCCGTAACATGTCTTACGTAGCCGCCAGGAAACACAAAGATTAACCCAGGGGGCCTTTTGCGCCGTTAAGGTTTTTCTGTTCTTTGGAGCCACAAGCAATTTGACCAAATGGGAAAGTTGCTGAAGTGACGAAATCGCATGCTCAATTGATTAGAGTTTAAGAGGTGGAGGATAGGGTTTAGACGATGATCATCGGATTAGACGAAGCACAGGTTAGGGTGACGTAGTGTTGCTGAAAGGCCTTAACTAGAACCACTCAGTTCAATTGACTACTGTTTTTAATTGACTTTCATGATCAGGTTACTCACCATTATTTGATATGACAGTAAGTATGACAATTCCTATTGATTCAAAGAATGTATCTTGCAATGTACACCTTCGTTAAATGGACTACAACTCAAGTTTCTATGCCATATGAAATTCTATTATACACTCTATAAGTTCCCGACCCGTTTAAGCATTCTGGAGGTACTCCTCGTTGGCGTAGTGGTACTCCAGCACTTGCACCTTGAATTCGTTGGACTCCTTGTTGTAGCCAACAATCTTGAAAGACGAAAGGTCGTCAACGACAATGTCGGCACCGGCCTTTCTGACCTTCTCTGGGTCGTATGTGGAACAGATACCAACAATCATGGCTCCGGCACCCTTACCAGCAGTAATACCGGCTGGGGCGTCCTCAAAGACCACAACCTTGGCGTCGTCATGCTCAAAGCCCAACGTGTCTCTGGCAGATCTGTAGCCCATTGGGTGGGGCTTACCCTTGGTCACCTTCTCGGCGGTGATGAAACAGTCTGGCTTCTCAATGGTGAGAAGGTTCAACCACTTGGTGGCCAATGGGAGGGTACCAGAGGTGACAATGGCCCATCTCTGCTTCTGGTCCTCAGTGGCCTCCTTGGAGAACTTGTCGAAAGACTTGACAAGCTCAACGGCACCTGGAATGGCCTTGGCAAAGTGGCCAAAGGTGTCTGGGATCGAGGCTTCCCACTTGGTAACCTGCTGCTCCTCAGCATCCTCTGGAGACCACTTGGCAATGACATCGAAAGTTCTGCAGCCGTGAGAAGTTCTAATAATCTCATCTGGGTTAACGTGAGGTCTAGTCTTACCGAAGTCTCTCCAAAACTCAGAAATGGCACCGGTGGAGTTCACCAAAGTACCATCACAGTCGAAAAGAGCGGCGTTGACGTAGAAGATAGCTGGCTGGTTCTGGATAGTCATGGTAATGAATGTGTTATTTGTTTTTTTTGTTGATGAGAAAAACTAAAATTGGACGAGGGGGGTGGCAGTATTTATACCTTTTGTCCAGGGTTCAGGAGATATTGCTTTTACGGTTTTTGCAGCTAGGGATCCTTTCTTTTTAGGCACGGACTGCATGGACACTCAATGGCCGGCTTATCTACTCACCAGATGCGATCAACAGATTTTTCCGACCGCGAGACGTTGCAGTTGCGCTTTTCTTTTTTCTGTTGGTCCTTGCATATAGTTGGCCTTTTCTTTTTGGTACTGTGTGCAGTCCCAACCACTATCCCATAGTTTTTGACATGTTGAGCACACGGGACCCCCTTTGGGGCCATTGGCAATAGGGTTTTTGGAAAGAGGCGGTTTTTTTGGTGCTGGATACGAGCGGGGCAAGTGAGGGGCAAGCTGCCAAATTGCCCCACCATCAATGGGCCTCTGACGTCCGTCAATGCCCCTACCAAGTCGCTATGACGTCGACGAACGCTCTAGCCAATGGCCACCTGCACAAGTGTCAGAACGACATGACATCATATGGTTTCGGCAGGTGGGCATTGCCTGCAGTCCGTGGCATCCTGCACGTGGGGCGCCATTACACACACAGACAGAAAAAAAAAAAAAACCGCGCCCAAAAGAAACTAAAAAAACTGGCCGTAACGTGCTGCCAATGCACAAGGCGGGCGTATATTCCTTGTCGCTATTTTCCACCCAAATAACCACCAGGGGGTTTCTGGGCACCAGTGCTGCGCCACGTGTGTGTCATGTGCATGAGCCACGTGATATTCGCTTAGAACAGGCACCCTCGGAAATGCGCCCGGCCTTTCGCCCCGTTTTGGGTAAATACGTCAGAACTACGTCAAGCTCCCAGACATCCTGTGCTTGGGTATGTACTATTAGCCGGTTTTGTGCCGGCGTTTGGTCCATTCCAGTCGTATTCAAAATACCCTGTATCACCCGGTTTCACTATGCTACGGTAAATCTAGCCGGTCCCGTCTAGACATCTGAATTCAGAGTTGAATGTTCTGGACACGGCTAGTTGTTGTTTATTGTCGCTGATTGTTGATGTTGTTTTTCAGGAACCGTTGCCAATTCCTTCCCTCATTGTGCTCTGTTTGTTGATCTGTTTCAGGATCTTCACCCTAGTCTATTCTTTCCCTACGACACCGACACGCATTGTTAAATCGTGGAGGTGGCTGAATGTCGAAAATAAGAAACTCGAAAAAGAAACAGCATTAGCCTTTCGCCTCGTTTCACCCAGTATCTCCCTGATCTTACAAGCTTTGGAATGTGTGCATGTTTTTGTATACACCTCTGGACCAAATCTTCACATGGTGCAATCGCTCCAGAGGCTCCATGACGTCAGGGAATGTTTCGTATTTTCATAGTAACACGCTCCCCAGAATCACAAAGTCGAAAATAGAAGGCGTAGGGCGTAGTGGAGTTTTGCTGTGTGGAAGAAAGTTACTGTAGTATTCAAGTCTCTTTTTATTCCCATTTTATTTCTTGAATGGCCACTTAGCAGCGTGCAATTAGATGTATATATTTTATTATTTTCTTGAACCTTAAAACAACATCCTAGCTATAGAGGTCCCCACAAACTCGGAGTAGATTGCGTTTTGGGCAGGTTTCCGAAGGCGTAGGCACAAAGCCAGTCAATCTCCGAATGTCGAAATGGAGCGGCAATGTGGAATATGCGTTTTTCGAAGGAAAGATTTGACGAGAAAAGCCAGGGGTTTTGAGGGTGCTTTTGCTTCAGGATGTGGAGAACGTCATTGTGCTGATGTCCAGTGAAGGAACAGGCATGTCGTACGGTGATCTGGGATCTGGAGCCCTGGGGGTTACCTTGGAGGAGGTTTTCTAAAATTGGGCTGTCCTGGGGAGCTTCACTGAAATTGGCAAAATTAAGCGGTGGAAAGCACGTAGTGAATTATTCATTCTATAGAAGCGTATTTCTCGGTTCCTTCAAGTCATTCTGTGGTTTCGATTTAAACACACAAAAACTTCTAAAACGACGTACCCTCACGAGAGTGCCTCAATTGACATGAAGCTGCATTAAACAAAAATAAACGATCGCCCTACATTGTCCTTATAATATTTTGCGCTCCATCTAATCTTATCTCTGGAATCAACAGTCGATTAACGTATGGTGCGCAAGACCCTTACCATAAACACGATAAACACACAAAATAAAGCAAAATCAAAATATCCAAACACATTTCTCTTAATCTAAAAAAACCTTGTACCTCCAAAGCTGGTTTCCTAATCAGGGCGTACTCCCCATGGATGACCTGTATACGGGCGATATCAACTCCACACTTCTACTCCGTTCTTCTTCAAGGTCGAGAAAACTATCGAACACAGACGGAATCGCCACTCAACAACACGTTCAGCGGAATCAGCGACCCAAGAAACCCCCACAGTCCAGAAATCATCTTCTTATCGCTTCTATAAGTTAACTTTTCACGGACCCAAAAACACCACATACTATCCAGATGTCCTGTGAAAACGAACACATTCACGGCCACAGCCATGGCGACGGTGACGGCGACGACCACGTTCCACCTATTCCCACGTCAATTGCGTCCCTGCTCAATCTGAAAGTCGATTTGCCTCATGTTACAGCACTCAATCTTGAAAACAAGCCTGAAGACTTGGCCAAGCTATTTAAAGACTCCAACACCCGCTACAACCTCCAGCCGGTGGTGAAGCTGGACGCAGACGAACAGCTTATCTTGCACGTGCCTTTTTTGAACGGATCCGTGAAACTCCACTCCATAATCCTCAGAACAAACGGAGACAAGTTCTGTCCAAAGTCGATCAAATTGTGGAAGAACAACAGAGATATCGACTTTGACAACGTTGATCTGGTCAAGCCGCTCCACAAGCTCGAGCATCCTCATGTCGGGGTGAACTACAACGACGATGATGACGAAATACCCGAGGTCTTGGAGGACGATGCTGATTTTGTAGAGCACCACGTTCCCAGGCACATTTTCACGGGCATCCAGCATTTGACGTTGTTTTTCGAGGATATCTACGGAGACGAGGAGCAGACGCATTTGCATTCCATCGAGCTTCGGGGAGAGTTTACGGAGCTTACAAAGGACCCTGTGGTGACATTATATGAACTGGCACCTAACCCAGCAGACCACAAGGTTGCAGAGGCCACAACACAGATGCAGAGCTTCCACTAGGGGTAGATTTGGAGGTGACAAAACAGACAATTTATGGTAATCGCTTTTTGGTACGTGCTGCAACAGAACATCAGAATCATAGTGGAAGCAATTGAAAGTCAGAGCAACAGTTCAGGATGAAAGCTCACCTTGATAATTACCCCAAACGACAAACGACAGCTTCCTCACAGACGACACCCTTCCTTGGAAATCCGTCTCCATAACTGCTTGAGCCTCCTTCTCTAATGTACCCACTGATTCCTACGGTTCGACTTGCCAACGGTCAAGAAACGTCTGACGCAGACCAACCTACTCGATGTCTCCGGACAACTCCTTCGGACTCCTTCGGTTTCAGCGGGAGACATTTAAAGAAATTACAAATGCAAGATGGCTAACTGGCACACCAGAACTAACCCTGAAACTGCCAATTTCATCTGCTTGGTCCAGATCGCAAATCCGAAAAAGAAACCCACAGACCATCGCAAATTGCACCTTCTGCACGGCGCCTAACCAACGATCAGTATCTTATCGCCTGAATGTCAAAAATATTCCGATACGCATACGCCGCTGTGCTGAGGCGGATTTAGAAAAGGGGCGAAGGTCCGAAGGAGGGCGATGGTGGGATAGTTGAGCAAATCCTGCTGGTTTCTCTAAGCTCTCGGGTTCTTCTACACAGCTATAGCATCTAGAACGAGCAATATTAAAGCACATTATGAATTGACCTGGTTGACTCACTAAGGAGTGGGGAGGTCGCTAGGGCTATCGTGGGTATACAGTTTAAGATGACGTCGGTGGAGTTATTGGTTTCTGGATCCGGTCAATACTACAGCAAGTGGTGATACCATCGATGTCATGGAACCTGGAATCGCAACAGAGCTATATGCCACGTGGGATTAATAATGGCTTGTTTTTGAAAAGCTTCAGGTCGGATATCTTCAGATCAAGCACGTTATTTCTGGAACAACACCATCGCGAGATTTGTGCGTATGGCGTGATACAGAACCAGCCGCTCCAGCAGCCAAGACAAGCAATGCAGCGACTGTTTTTGGGTATCTAGCGAAATCAAGGGCACTGGATTCTTAAGTCAAGGAGCCCTCGTTTGAATGTCCATTTCACGAAAGCGCTGGATTGTGCACTTCGAACTATAAACGCATATTTTGCAACCAACATCAACACGTCTCAACGAGGACGACAGTCAAACTCACACTACCTACTTCCCGTCTATTTTGCTTTCTTATCTTGCATTGCATTACGTGCTTGGCCCTGGCTCAGTCTCACGATTTTCGCTTAAGCAGCATCACCTGCTGTCACAGACCGTGTAAGAGCATATTGCTCCACCGGCTCGTGCTGCAACATGAGGCTCATGGAAGACTAGGTTTTGGCGAAAATAGGCTTTTAGTGAAGAAATACGACCCCTGAGCGTCTGGCCAATCAGAGCTCGTCTAGGTGGTGTACTTGATGTCAGGCACAGAGGGGAAACAAGACCACTACAATTTGGGTATAGTCGATATTTTGGATCCAGAGTCGTCCTTTGAGCTCAATTGAGCGTTTCAAGGAAATCGAAGAATTGGGATCGTCGGGTGGACCCTGTGGTATCGTCCATTCAGCCGTGTGGTTCACATGCACCACCAGCCCGGGCTTACAAAAGGCCGAGGTCCAACGGTGGCTGGTTTGATTCGTTGATCTTGAGGATTTCAATTGATAGTTGAGGCAGTTGGATTGAAGAGATTAATCAAAATAAGGTGCTTCTGTTTGTTGGGCAATTGAATGGTCTATGTATCCATAGGGTGGTAGACATGCTACACAGTCAGTGGATCACAAGGGTGCAGAACCCCCCAACGGTCAATTGAGTGAACAGAAGGAAGATATACCTGGGATCAACATGGAAAAACGGTAAACTAGGCGAATTCTAAGTTGAACACAGCGCTGGCTTACTCAACGATTCCACACAACAGTCAACCGTCTCTTCACTTTTGTACCAGAAAAGTCAATACCATAACAGTACAGCTCGTCTGCTTATACAAATGATCTCAATTCTCGTAAATCTCTCCCTTCTCATCTAAACTGTTGACGTCTCCTGGTGTGGATCTGTAAGCGCATCTTTTGCAGCCACACCTATAACCACAACGTGGTGAGGAAGAAGGAGCACTCAATTGGAGAAATCAACAGAGTTTCTTGAGCCCCATTTGCTTTAAGTATTAGATTTTCGAAAATCAACAACTTAAAAATCCATTTCTTTAATTTCTGCCCCAATTGAGGCGAATCAACACACTTTCTGCTTCCACAACTCCCCCACACTTCAGGAAACCCACCAAACTCCTCCCAAACTCTTCCAAGAACCCAGCACCAAAATACCACTACACCACCGACCAATCACAGATCACCAAAAGACCCCCAAAAAACACCAATACCAAATTCACCTAAAACCCACAACGCACCGTCATGAGCCTGTCCATCGACCTGTAACCACATGATCCAGTTCTCACTAGGGTTAGACTTACACTAGGCCACACCCCAATTCCACAAAAGCCAAATCCACAAGAACAGGCTTTTTCAAAAAAGGCTAGTATTTTCAAAATCCAAATCCAAATCCAAAAACCCAATATCAAAATCCAAAAACTCCACAACTCCAGGCCTTGTCAGGTGACGGCCCGGTGCGGCCCGGGTATATAAAGCAGGAGGATTCCCACATTTTTCGCATCACAGCATGCCTAAGTTAGTTTTGGTCAGACACGGCCAGAGTGAGTGGAACGAAAAGAACCTTTTCACCGGATGGGTGGATGTGCCTCTCTCCGAGGTCGGCAGAAAGGAAGCCGTCCGTGGTGGTGAGCTCTTGAAGGAAGCCGGTATCGTTGCCGACGTCTTGTACACCTCCAAGTTGAAGAGAGCCATCCAGACCGCCAACTTGGCCTTGGAGGCCGCCGACCAGTTGTACATTCCCGTCAAGAGATCCTGGAGATTGAACGAGAGACACTACGGTGCTCTCCAGGGTAAGGACAAGGCCCAGACCTTGGAGACTTACGGTCCAGAGAAGTTCCAGACCTGGAGACGTTCTTTCGACGTGCCACCTCCAGTGATTGAGGACTCGTCCGAGTACTCCCAGGCCGGTGACATCCGTTACCGCGACATTGACCCTGCCGTGGTGCCAAAGACCGAGTCGTTGAAGTTGGTCATTGACCGTTTGTTGCCCTTCTACCAGGACGAGATCGCCGGCGACTTGTTGGCCGGCAAGACCGTGCTCATTGCCGCCCACGGTAACTCCTTGCGTGGTCTTGTCAAGCACTTGGACAACATCTCCGACGACGAGATTGCCGGCTTGAACATCCCCACCGGTATCCCATTGGTCTACGAGTTGGACGAGAAGTTGGCTCCCACCAAGCCTGCCTACTACTTGGACCCCGAGGCTGCTGCTGCCGGTGCTGCCGCTGTTGCCGCCCAGGGTTCTAAGAAGTAAGCCTATGCTACGAATTAGACACTGATTTGATGTTGAGGTGTAGTCTGTGAGTTGTAGTGAGTTGTGGATCGTAGTGCTGTAGGTTGAGGTGACGAATTGACCTGGAATTGAGGCCATTGAGCCACAGTAGGGCCAACTTGGTGGTTGGTTCATTGTCGATGAGGCAGAGGAGGGTTCCTGGTTTTTGGGTCAATTGGGGCAATTGGGTGAAAAAGTGGGTGGAGGTGGATTTTAAATGTCAAGAAGGTATGGTTTTTTGATTTTGGGCCCAATTGGCGTTGGAAGTGGTGTTTTTTAGGTGGACCATTCAAGCGCATGGAAGTTTTTCAACTCGTGAAGGTGTAGCTACTGGTCAAAATGTTTGAAAGCAGTTTTTTTTTCGGATGGGAGAGTGTCTTTTGTGAACTTGATCTCGAAATTCACGTCGCTGGTTTATTTATCTTTTTTTTTTTTCTTTAATTCTGTTTCAGGTTTCACGAGTTTGTAGATGAAGGTTGTATACTGGGTTTGGGTGCAAAATGAGCAAGCATCCACGCATTCACAGTAGACTTAAAAAATACACCAACCATAAATTGACGAAAAAAGCTTTTGAATGGACTCTTGAGACTATTAGGAAAAGGTTTGAAGGATACGCTGTGATTTTGAACGTTCGAGGAGAGTCAGATTTATGACTTCCTTCCAGTGATGGAACCATGGAACCATGTCTCGTTCACACAAATGCCAAAAACACAATGAAGAGAGATACTCATTTGACGATGAAAGAAAAGACTTAAATTCACCAGACAAAAGATTTTTATAGTTCGTCGACGCTACTTTTTCAAACTACCGCTTCAGTATAACGAGCAGTACAGTTGCTCAATCCTCCACGCAGAGCTCCATAAAACGATTCCACCAAACACATAAATCCATTCTGCTTTTACTAAATTAACCGAAATACTAATAGCACCGTCAACGGCCCCCCCTGGACCCCAAATCAGTCAAGATTGTTGGTCTGCCAACCTCCCACCTGCATACAGCCACCCACCACAGCATCAACATCTCAGCTTCTTCAATCTCTAAAATCCTAGTACAACTGCCCACACGCCGATGTCGTTCAACTTCGGCCTGCAAAACGCCAATCAGGGCTCCGGCCTGACTTTCGGCAACACTGGTTCCAACACCAATTCCGGCACAGGCTTCAGTTTCGGCGGCAACTCGGCCTTTGGTTCGCTGAACCAGAATCAACAAAACCAAGGTCTGCAGAATCAGACACAGGGCGCAGGCTTTGGCTCTCTGAACACGCAAACTGGCCAATCAGGATCGTCGGCTTTCGGCTCAGGTGGTCTTTTTGGCTCCAACAACAACAATAATAACACCAGCTCAGGTTCAGGTGGTTTTGGTCAACTGACACAAGGATCCCTGGCTTTCGGCGCTAAGCCCGCTGACGGAAGCAAACCCAATTTCAGTTTTGGCCAAAACGCTAATTCAGGCACCACGGGCTCGGGTTTCGGAGCCAGCACGGGCTCAACTTTTGGCTCTGGATCTGGTTCAGGTTCCACAGGTGGATTATTCGGACAAGCCTCGTCCA